TTATGGCCACTTGTGACGCCAACTATTGTTTCCTTGTTGTTGACGTCGGCCAATTTGGACGACACAGCGATGGTGGTGTTTTTGCTTCCTCTGCATTCGGGCAAGCCCTGTGCAATAACCAAGTGCCGTTGCCCAGAGCGGAGGAGATTCATGGGATTGGCAAGATGCCATACTTCTTTGTTGGCGATGAAGCTTTCCCCCTCAAACCGTATTTAATGAGACCTTTTCCTGGCCGAGGTTTAACCACCACAAGAAAAGTTTTCAACTGCCGCCTCTCACGAGCTCGACGAGTCATTGAGAATGCCTTTGGCATCCTGGTTGCCCGGTGGCGGTTCCTCAAGCAAGCAGTCACTGCTCACCCGGACAGTGTAATCAGATGTGTGAAGGCAGTAGTTGCCCTGCATAACTTCCTCAGGATTGAAGAGTCTGCTCTCTATTGTCCAGCTGGGTTCACAGACAGTGAAGATGGAGACGGAAACTTGATCCCAGGGAATTAGCGGAAGAAGAAGTCAACTGGCCTGCTGCCGATAACTGAACATGGTGCTCACAGGTATGTATTATTGCGAGCCCTACATTAATTACAGTTAATTATCAGGGTACTTTTTGTGTCAGGATGTTGTGATTGTTCTACATAATAAAAGTATATTGAATTTGAAAGCTATAATTATAGTACAGTGACTAGTACAGTGAAATATAGTTACAGAGTCGATGCAATTTCCTCTTCAACGGTATGCTGCTCCTACCATGATTTCATTTGTGCTCTTGATTTCTCTTGGCTTTTCGCTCTACTCGCAGGTATTCCATTCGTGCCCGTGATGTCCGTGTCAACCTGGCTGCCTACTTCCGCTCACGCCGGGGCAGGCTGAGTTGGCAGAAGAAGCATGTCCAGTCAGCCTTTGAAAGTTGATGCTCTGAAAGTAAGTTCGTATTTAATTAATATCCGAAAATTGCGCACGAGCATATTTTCTGTGTTCCTGATTAATGACCCAACAGAAGAAAATACATGAGACAAAATGAATTACTATTTCATCACGACCTTCATGAACAATTATGTTGTTAAGGTTGTTGTTGTTGTTGTTGTTGCTGTTTTTGTTTGCTTGATCTATTCTCCCACTGTCTAATAGTCTTGTTAATTTTTTTGTTGTCTTTGCTCTCTGCAGGTCTTCACTTGACCCTTGTCGCATCAAGTGTTGGCCTCGTTTGTGGTGTATGACTCCCACAGTGTGTTCTATTCAATTCATCATGTGTGTGGACCGTACTATGCACAGTTGATTGGTGTTTTGTTCCTTTAACCTTTTAAAACGTGTCTATGTTGTTTTGTTTGTGGCACTTGCGGAATGTGCTGTATTTGGACGTGAACGACGTTTTGCTGCTGTTCAGAAATCTAGATGTTCTTCTTATAATTATGCTCTCTCATAGCAATCTATGGCAGTCTGGATATCCATGGTGGCTTCTTTGTATAAATTGTTTTCCCCGCATCTCACATGCAATGTTGAATTTTCTCATGTTTGCTCGTGTGCGGGCAATGGTGGTTCGTTAAAATCAGCTACCTTGGTGAAAGATATCTATGTCACCTTCTTACTGAAATCAAGGTATTACAAGCTGTGCATGGGTCAAGGTTATATCGTTCTCACAATTGATATGTACTTTGCAAGGACAGGTCTCATCAACACATTTCATAAATCTTGCACTAGCTCCACAGCAGCCAGTTCATCACATTTGACTGCTCTTCACCTCAAAACAGACGTATTAGTGGTCATTGCTGCCGCACACTTGTATTATTGCAATGACTTATCAAGAGTGAAAATCAGTGTCAAGAAAATGAGATCTCAAAATCAAAATCAAGAACAGAGCAAATACACTAGTTACTGTCATCTGGGAATTCAGCGTTGTCCAATAAGGCCATGATATTTGGCCTTGCTCCTCACCCTTGGTGAAAGGCGTGCCAGTGTCTGGTTTACCTCTTCACCAAAAGGGTCAACTGATACAGAGGGTGCTGGGTTCGGCTTTTTGCTGGTCTGGATGGATTTTACCGTCTCCAGAAGATGAAAATCCAGTTCATTCTGCAGAGGATTTGGCCCTGCCTGCATCCGTTGCCTCTTGGGCTTCCCAATGGAGGAGAGTGGGATGGGCTCCCGCTTGATACTGCTGGTCGCAGTCGTTCGTTGCGTGGCTGCTGCAGTGGGTAGCACTACGCGCACTGGCACGACATCAGAATCATCAGAAGGGTCAACATCTTCCCGTACAGGTTCTGCAGCCTCACCATCACCATCACTGCCTGAATCGCTTGAAGTGCCATCATCCAAGTTGATCATATCATCATTGGCCCCAGGCACCAATTCACTCTAAATACAACAAAGCATGGACAAAACCGGAAAAAGAGGATATAAAAGAAAGTGAGCGAGGAAGACATGAACCCGAAAACAGACACGAATACAAAAATTGGTAATACCAACATGTACACGAGCTGTTTCAAAAAATTGTCCAGTTCACTCACATTCTCGGGGTCCTGGGTCAATTGGAAATTGCTGTCACTTGACCTTCTAGCAAGAGTTTCCTTCAGGAAGGAGAATAGCGACATGTAGTTACAGTGTGTTCAATGAGTCAGTCCCGTTCAAGGATGGCCTGTACGAGTTTGCCCTGTCTCCACACAACTCTACACTACTTAGTATACCTGTTCTATACACAGTTTACCCAAGACCAACTACCACTGTACCTCGGATGACCAGCATGCCAGGTAACAATGGTAAGTATTCAGTGTGTTCAAGTGTAGCGAACATGTCTTTCTGTCTGAATCATCACACATCCCAGTACCAATGGATGTGAGAGAGGTCTACATGCCCAACACAGACGTGAATAAAAACAGAGAGGATGCAATATGCACACAACAAACATAGTATTGGCGGAGGACGCGAGGTATAATAATATTATTATAACAGGGACATGCTCCCCAGAGTACAGATACAACGCACAGAGTACATTTATGACACATGGAGTACAAAGTAGCGAGAGTTCCCAGATTACCTTGATTGCTCAACACCACAAGGATGGAGCATTATCACAAAGGCAGAAGAAAACAGAGACAACTGGCTAGTTGATTGCTGTAACGCTGGGTTCATCCTGCACATAGCAAAGCTAAGGCAATCCTCAGACAACTGTTAGGTACCTCCTCCCGTACGTTGTACAACCTTTTCAAAGCTGGCCTGCATGCGCCCTCGTACTCACCTTTTGTCTCCTTTTGTCACCTTTTGTTCCGTTGGCCTGGGTAGCTACTTGCGCGCCCATATTTGCCATAGCTACCCAGGCCCTTTATCTTGCCGCCCTCACTTGATCTCTCTCTCTCTCTCTCTTCCATAATGTAGTCGTTTCGTTCGTCTTGGTCTCTGTCTCTTTGTCTCTAAGAAATGTCGTCCCATCAACCAGTCGTACTGTTGCCTCGCTTGCCTGCCTATACAAGCTGCATTACCTGCCTGGCCCTCCGCAGCTACTCTCTGTTTTGCAACCGCGCCATTTCCCCTCATCCAGCCCCAGAACTCGCAGCGAGCATGGTAGCGTCATTGGCCATGACCACCAGCTCCAACACCAGCTGCTTGCATCTGTCCCGCTGGCATTAAAGCGCTCGTTCCCACACTGCAGTATTAGTGACTGGAACTCCCTCCCCGCCGCTCTTCTGTCCCAGCCTCCCCACAGCAAGGGAATACAAGCATTCAAAACTAATGTTTATCGCCATCTGTGAAGCACAAACTGGCTCTGGGCAGTCGACTCGCTATGATGATGCTCTCGTCGTTCTCCTCTATCCCTATCTATGCACCACAACTGGCTCAGACAACCGACTCGCCATGATCAGCCATGATGATGCTCCTCTCAGTAACAGCCCTTGTAATTTGTTAATAGTCTCACAGTTTCTCCCGCACACTCGCTGGTGTTAACCCTTCCTTTCTTTTCATTTTGCTGACTCGTAGAGCTTTATCTTTTGTTTTTGGTGCGTGTTTTTGGCCGTGATGCCGAGACCTCAGGTCGGCAGAGCCATCAATGCCCCACCATCACTGCTGCGTCTCGGTGCAGCCCCTGCTCAATAGTTGTCACGTTCGTCCTAGTCTCAGTATCATTGTCTTTCTTTATTATTTTCGAGCTGGGAATGTGAACATAGTAAAATAAAAAAAATAAAAAAGGAAAATAATAAAAAGTTCCCGTTTTCCATAATGTCTTGGAGAGTAATTGTTCTTTTCGAACTCAACAGAACTGATGACCTGCACATCATCTGGGTTCAATTTCATACGCAGGCGGGTAGCAAAGCAAAGCGCGCCAAGGTAGAAAAGCGCGACATTAGTGTGACATTTCAAGTTAGTGAGACATGGTGCAGATGGTGATGGTGTCAGTTTTACAAGGAGGTGAGAATGAGGGAGAGAAGGAGAGTTGGCAGTCAAGTTACAGTGATGGCAGGCAAGCCCTGCGCCTGGTGGCGGCATGCAGGTGACTAAGTCACACCAGTTCCGTAGCGTGAGAGATAGAACTTATTCTAATTACCAAATTATAGCTACGTGGACCCTGGCTAGCGCCAGACGTTACTTAAGTAACGTCTTTTGCAAAGCATTGGGAATAATAGTGATTAGTTCACAGAAGCAGACTTCTCCAGCACAGAAGTTGAAGTCGTCCATTCCGACTCCGAGTTTCACAGTAATCAATCATCATGCAAGCCACCTGCTGGTGACTCAGCTTGAAACTTGGAGGTGTTGTTCTACTTCTGTGATGTCAATGCATCATGCAAAGTAACTATGCTCTCTTGCATAAACGAGTTGCCATCGGCCATTCTTACTTTTATGGTGTTCATATTGTATTCAGCTGTTGTGCGGTAGACGTGCCAATAGCGTTTCCTACATCAAGCTGATGAATGCCTTCGGATATTGTTTTGTTGCCAGTTTGAACAATTACGGCCATTTTATAACACTCGTTGTTTAAATTTGTTTGAATCTTGCCAACTTGTACACTTTCTTCTCCAGCTCCCGTAACTTCTTCACCCGCAGTCACCATAGATCGTAGTAGTGGCATCACAGACACAAGTACATCCATCAACTCTACGCTATCGGCCCGCAGTGAGAACAGTACTGATTCTACAATAACTACGTCCCGGGTGAACAAGTTGATCATGTATTCCACTCTCGTAACAGCACTGTTAATGACGGAGATCTTTGCAGCCATCACACTGATATACATAACATACCAGGCAAGAAACTAGGTCTTAGTTCCTGTCGCAATTCTGCACTGTTTTTTCTTTATATCCCCTTTTGCCCAGTATCTCATATTAGTCACAAATGTAAGAGAACTCCGTAAATCTTTTGTTGTTTCTGTTGGTCTCATTGTGTTTGTCATATTATGGTATAAAGTGATAAGATAAGTTGCTAAAATATCGCATTTACTTCATCAATGGTAGTCCACGTCTCTTCAAATTGATATGCAGTACATTGCACCTATTGATAAATTGATTGATACTTTCATACGTTCATACGTTCATGGGATAATCATTTATTTTATTTTATAAAGTTTGGGTTTGAAAATCTTTATTATTTTACACATGCATTTTCCTGATTTCTTCTCCAGTGTATGTTGCACTGCATTTTAATCCATTGACGCTTGTATCACATAATGTTGTTTAAAAGTACATTGCATCTGTGACGTAGGCAGTAGGTCTACGTCTCAACCCTCCATGCTCACTTTAGCTACAGGATGGTGCAAGACTGCAGGTTGTCCATTCTGCAATTTTTCCGTTTTGCATGTGGTGTTTTGATACATGCATGCTCTTTTGTACTTGTTTGTAATTGTGCATACTATGCATGGTGGATTCAAGACCAGCAAACCATTGATTCATGCTGCGAATTCAAATAAATCAATACAACACAATACAATGCTGTTGCCAGGGAGTCTTGTTGTTGAGATAGGGAGTCGGCAAAGTGGTCATTGGCTACCCCAGCCATGTATTGCTTGGAATAAAATAAAATAAATAAAATAATGGCACAGTACTTTGACGACTCCCTGGTAGAGTTCAACCACATTTAATTTAACAAAAAGAGAAATTTAGGCGGACACCTGATTTTGACATACATGAAATGAAAATAGTGTTCTCCCCCTGGTCCCCGCCACACAGCAACGCGAACTCTTGAATGTGTCTCAAATCTTATATTATACCAACAAATGACGAGGGCGGCCTGAGGAGAAAGACAAAAAGACTCTTTATGTTCACCACTCATCCCTTTTTTTCAAAACATTTGAACATTTACACTGATGTATATACTGTGGCGTCCAGCCCGTCAAATATGCAGCTCTATATGTGAGAGGGATTAATCCTGGCTGTCACGCAGATGGAATCGTACATTGGTGCAGGGATCGGGACGTTGAGGTCGTATCATGCAACATTTCAGAATCCAAATACTTTGGCACCGCTTTTGCACATGTGCTGATAGACGCAAAGGACATGGATACAGTCAGAAAACCCGACTTCTGGCCGTCAAACGTCTCTGCCCGACCCTGGAAATTCAAATCCGATGATGATCGCACTTTAGGCAGTGTAGACCAGCGTCGCTACTCAACAGACGAGAAGCAATGAGTTTAACACTCAACCCATTGGCTCCACCTTTCCGTCCTACACCGGCAACCACGCACACAACTTCACACGCAAATGCTGATCTATTCCCGGGTAGATTGCTAAATCCCGGAGCGAAAACATTCCAGCCCCTGCCATTACCGGCTACCAGTCACCCATTTGTCTGCTTTAACGCTAGATCAATACGGAACAAGGTCGCGGAATTAACTGACTTCTGCTCGACGTGGGACCCGCTGTCCGTTTCTATTACTGAGACATGGCTGCACGGAGCTCAAATTTTCTCTATCCCAGGATACGACTGTTATCGAAGAGACAGACCTACAACCGAAAACAAAACAAACAGGTCCGAACTTTTGGCGTATGGTGGAGTTGCTCTTCTGGTGAAGTCTGGTGTATTTCCTTCTGTTGTACATCGTTCGGACCTTCACGCTCCAAATTTCGAAGCTACGTTTGTAGAGATTGAGTTTCCGCTGAAGGGTACCGGAACACAGACATTTGGATCCGGGAAGTCCCTGCTAATTGGATCCCTCTACCGCCCACCCTCGAACACGGCTGCCGCCATTGATACATTTTGTAACTCTCTCCAACGCTGTCTGACTGTTGTCAAAGCTAAAACATCTGCAGTAGTGTTGATGGGGGATTTCAACGCTAGGTGTTCAGACTGGGAGGGGGACATTACCGACAGAGCAGGTCACCAATTGCGATGTTTGCTTAAGATGTTTTCTTAGGAGCAATTGGTAAACTTCCCCACTCACGAGTCTGCCTCGGGCCCTGGAGCGGCTTTGGATCTTGTAATAAAGGATATTCCCCACGCCATTGACGACCTCCATGCTGAAGCACCTATGGGCCAATCTGGCCACTGTATTGTTGTTGGTAAAATTAAAATGTCACAATCCCCACGGTCTACTGTCTCTGAGCAGAAACAGCTTCCACATCGAAGTAACCTTGCTTCATTGAACATCTCATCCGTGCCGAATGAAACGGCAGTTGCGCTCAATGAGCGTCTATTCCATATTGACTGGGAAGCTGTGCTCCAACTACATCGGGGTGATCCATCCCTATCTGCAGATATGCTGTACGACACTTTGGAGGAGATACTGCAGTCCTATCTAGAGCGACGCAAATCGACAATCCGATGCACACCCTCGAAATCGGCCCGACCACCTTGGCTAACACCAGCAAATCAAACGGAAGCATGACTCGTACAGTGTGTACAGGAAGTATCAAACCCCTAAAAATCAAGCTGTGTATAAGGCGGAACGGAATAAGACCCGTAACCTCTCGCGGCTGGAGCACCGCAGATTTCTCCGCACTCTCAATTCATTCTCCCAAAAGGCCCAAACACCATCACCGAATCTACACAATTTTATCCGAAGTTTGCGGTCGGACTCCACCGGAAAACCCACTGTATCACGCCTCACCGTCCGAGGAGCTGACATCAAATCATCTGACGACATTGCAAATGCCCTAAATAAGCAGTTCATTGCATTTGTTACTCCGGATAACCCTCAGTGGACACTCCCGCCTTTGCAGGACGCCTCGACTGCGCCGCCGCTCACCTCTATCTTCACCACGCCCTATGCCGTGCATAAATGCATCAAGCGTCTAAAGCTCCGGAAAGCTGCGGGACCTGATGGAATTACACACGAGCTGCTGAAATTGATTGGCCCGTCGATATCGCTTCCTTTGAGTCTGCTACTCAATCTGTCTTTCTCCACCGGTATTTTTCCAACTGCTTGGAAAGCTGCTGTCGTCATCCCGCTGTACAAAAACGAAGGCGCAAGAACGGATCCGACGAACTATCGTCCCATATCCCTTCTCTCAACGATATCAAAGCTGTGTGAGCGAAAACTGTATGAAAAGTTATATGCACATGTAGATCCATATCTCCATCAATCACAGTCCGGATTCCGTTGAGGTGATTCAACAGCCTGGCAGCTACTTCGAGTTGTTCAATCCCTGCATGACAATCGCCATCGCAGCGAGTACAGCCTAGTCAGCTTCTTCGATGTATCTAAAGCCTTTGATACTGTGTGGCACCGTGGGCTGATGGCTAAGATAGCATCATTCTCGATTCAAGGACGCATACTGCGGTGGCTGGAGAGTTACCTGTGTGGTCGCTCACAGCAAGTGAGTATCTCGGGTCAATTGTCCCACCCTGAACGCGTTCTGGTGTCCTCCAGGGATCAATTCCGGGGCCCCTGCTTTTTCTAATAATAATAATAATAAATAATAAACACAGCTCGCATCTTCCCTGAACCTGTTAGACAGGAGCAGAGTCGACGCATCTGTCAACAGTGTCAAGCCAAGTTAGTCTATCTCCTGCAGCTTGGAGAGCGCTCTCCACGGAGAGATCCGCTGCCTTCAGGTCGTGCCGAATCGTATCTATCCACCGCAATGGCGGACGGCCACGGGGTTTTTTTATGTCGTTTGTGTTGATTGATAACTCCAGTGCTTGGAACGAGGCGGATTCCGGACCCTCTCGCACCACATGGCCAAACCACAGCAGCCTGCGTCGCCGACATGTGGCACTAACTGGAGATTGTTTTGTTTCTGTGTATAAGTTGTTATTGGTGATGCGTTGCGGGTAGACAATCTGCAGCAGTACGCGTAGCTTCCTCCGTTGCCATTTGTCCAGTTTGTCGTTCAGCAATTTGGACAGAGTCCACAATCCGCAATTGTATAGAAGGATCGGCATTATGAGGCAGTTAAACATACACAGTCGGGATTGAAAGGAATGCCGTCTCCAAGAAATCGAACCAAACGCCCTGTTTGCTTTTGAGATTCTCATGTCCACGTCTTCTGCAGAGCCCAATAGAGAACCCAGGAGTTTGATTGATCTCCATTCGTTGCTGTTTCTTGTAACATCAACATATTCAGTTTTCTGTGTATTGAGCTTGAGGTTGTCTTCGTTAAATATAGGTTCACACTCATTTCTAATATAATATATTTTATTATGTGAATGATATCGGTGCAATTCCCAACACCTCGCTATATGCGGACGACACCACTCTGCTGGCTAGTCACTGGTCGCTCCCCGTCGCGTGTCAAGACCTGCAGGTAGGAATAGACTGTGTGGTCAAGTGGATGCGAAGGTGGAAACTCCGGCCGAACTCCGCCAAGACCGAGATCATGTGTGTCGTCCCCAACGCGTCATCAGATGTTGCACATCTTCAAACTTTTATTTTTCATTTCCCCGATGATCCTAACCCGATACCTATAACCTCTCGTCACCAAGCACCTTGGCGTTACACTTGATAGCAAATTGGACTGGTCCCACCATTTCCGGACTCTGGAAAAGCGGGCAAGCTCAGTCGTCGGTATTCTTTATGGCCATCTCCCGCACATTTCACCAGAATGACGAAAGACCTTTTATCATACATACGTTTTGCCTATTTTCTTGTATTGCTGTGTGGTGTGGTGTGGCGCTGGTAATGGCCTCTTTGCAAAGCTGGAGATTGTGCGTCGACGGATTCTCCGGGCAATACTTCGTTTGCCGCCCGAGACCAACATAGCCGTTCTCTATGAAAATTGCTGTACATTTCCTCTGAAACATTACATTGACCGATCCTCCTGCGTATATACTCACAAAATCAAACTTATCACTGCCCCTCAGCATGTGCAGCATTCCTTAAACTGGTTCAATGAATCCTCAACAAGCCAGAACTCGCTTCGTTTCCCGATTGCTAGAAACAATTATATGAGCAAATCGCCTGTATTCCTAGCATACCAATTATGGGATTCTCTTCCTCAGCAATTAAAGTCCAGCAACACCCTCAATGCGTTTTTAAGCTTGATAAATATACACATACGCCGATCTTCATTTACTAATCATTGATTTCAACTCTCTTTGAGTATTATTTCAAGCTCCAAAGTAAATCATATATGCTACCTGTACAATTCATTTGGGTTTTGGATTGATTTTTATAATTGATTTTGGTTTTGGATTGATTTACTTTTATTTTAACTGGTTTTGAGGGAAATTGTCTTTTATTTCATTTTCATTTTCATTTAACTTGCCATATTTTGCGTGTGCATTTTTGCCTTCTTGTTCTTTTATTCCATGGCTGGTAGCCCTCATTCATAATATTGGTTGACACCATGTCATCCATGAATTGAGAATAATAATAAAAATAATAATAATAGTAGAAAGGAAAAGGACATAAGGAAACGAGTTAAGAGTAACTCTCAACCATTGTAAATAGATACTATATACAGTCAGAAAGTGCAACAACTAGGCACAAAACTGACAGAGTACTGAGACATTCGACGTCCTGAAACCTAG